GTTATGAATCGTCATGTAAATATCTGATATGCAGGATGTATTTTCATTGTTACAAATTGAACATCATTAAAGCATAGTGATGAATCACAAAAACAATATGTAATGATAGATGTGTTTTCCGATGGTCTTAGGCGACCCCTGTGGAAGGGTCGTTCGACCCCCCAGGTTGGCGACCCACAGGTTGAGAACCGCTGCTCTAAGGAAGCAGAAGCAGCAGCTGAGGTCCCTTTCAAAGTCTGGACCGTAAGTGCCCTCCTGGGGGCGCTGCTGCCCAGACATCACCAGGGGGCATGGAAGCGGTGGCCGGGGTCCTGCAGGGACTGACTATACATCTCTGTCCCCTGGCACACAGCACCTCGGCGTCTGCTGGGTGTCGGATGCATTGGAGATGACCAGGCCCGGGTCACGTGATCGGGCCTGGGAGTGTACAGCCTGCGTGGGGCCCACTCGGTGCACTCCACCGCTTCCAGGCCGGGCTGCTGCTCACCGGTGAACCTCTACCCGTAATAACTACTTGGTGTAAACCAAAGGGCTCTACGTGAGCCCTGGTACCTATGGAACATATCACATGGGCTGTAAGATAACGTGGTAAAATGACACACATTTCAAATGACCACACATAGAAAAAGAGAAATAGCACAAGAACAAGAGCACGCATCAAACATGTTTAAAATATATATATAAACGAAGTTCAGAATGGGTCAGCTTGCCCTTTTAGGTTAGTCCGCCAGCTAGATGAAATTGAATCATCACACTTACTCTCACTTTCGGTAACTTGCACCTCTTCCTCCATCCCTTTCTTAAACGTAGTAGCATTGATATCTGATGTATTAAAGGCACGAAGTTGGAAAACCTAAAATAAGTGATCAATGTTTACGTTTTCATCTGACCACCCGTTCCCATGAAAATGGACTATATGTCAATCTGCTTTCTTTTGCGATGAAAATAAAAAAGGCGGGAGGTTCCGTAGCTGAGAAGACCTCCACGTGACCATCGCAGTGGACAGTAATGCTGTGACCACAAGTCATGTCCTTTCAGAGCATTCTTTCCGTTTAGTCCCCGCACCCCGAAAGATAATACAATGTTGTTATGTAATATTCAGATAATGCAGCAAAGCATGAAGGGGGGAAGCAGAAATTCCATTGATTTTTAGAGAGAGAGTGGAAGAGAGAGAAAAAGACAGAAACATCGGTGTGAGAGAGACACATCGATTGGTTGCCTCTTGCATGAGCCCTGACCAGGGCCTGGGCCGGGGAGGAGCCTGCAACCAAGTTATTTGCCCTTAGCTGGAATCCAACCCGGGACCCTTTGGTCTGCAGGCTGACGCTCTAGCCCAGTGATGGCGAACCTTTTGAGCTCGGCGTGTCAGCATTTTGAAAAAACCCTAACTTAACTCTGGTGCCGTGTCACATATAGCAATTTTTTGATCTTTGCAACCATAGTAAAACAAAGACTTATATTTTTGATATTTTATTTTATATATTTAAACGCTATTTAACAAAGGAAAATCAACCAAAAAAATGAGTTCGCGTGTCACCTCTGATATGCGTGTCATAGGTTCACCATCACTGCTCTAGCCGCTGAGCCAAACCGGCTAGAGTGATGATACTTTTTATATTCACTTTTACCATAGTACGTATGTAACGATGCTTTAACATCAGTCTTTAGAGAATGAAATAACCCACAATAGTCAAATAAAAATAATCATTCCATGCTCCACTTACATTAGCTAAATCCGAGATTCTTGATTTTAGTACAAGGTCGCTATCTTTCTTTGAAGAGCTTATACTGTTATAATATACGTAGTATCGAATGATTGCTGATAACAATCCATCGGTCCATTCCATGGTATTAGGATCCAGTTGTCCATATAGTTCACTAACCGTGACACACTTGGGATTTAAAACCCAAGTATCCACTTTTCCCTTTCTTCCTGGAATCTGAGAAAAATCCAGGGTGGGTTTTTATTTTATTTATTTTTTAAGATATTTTATTGATTTTTTACAGAGAGGAAGGGAGAGAGATAGTTAGAAACATCGATGAGAGAGAAACATCGATCAGCTGCCTCCTGCACATCTCCAACTGGGGATGTGCCCGCAACCAAGGTACATGCCCTTGACCGGAATCGAACCGGGGACCTTTCAGTCCGCAGGCCGACGCTCTATCCACTGAGCCAAACCGGTTTCGGCAAGGGTGGGTTTTTAAAGACATTAACTGCATACAGTCCGGATGCCACCCTACCAACCTGGTTCTTACCGAACAGGAAAGGGGAAAAAGGAAAAGCCAGGTAGACGGAGGCCCAGCCAGGTCTGGGTGGCATGGGAAGGTGCCGACCTGTTTGCCTGTCCATCGCACCTGATTGCGCGTCCGAATGGGCGTGGCCCCCACAAGCACGCGAAACCTAAACATATCAACTCCCCAACCAGGAAGTGTCTCTTCTCTCTCTTTTGCCTGTTGGGACTCTGGTGGAGGGATGCCCTCCCGCAGGCCCACAGGGCTCAAGGTCACATGGGGCTCCGCGCAGAGACCAATGGACTTGAATCAGCCTGAATGCTGCAGTACACCGGCTGCAACATGGAACGGATACTCTGGACCCTGGCTTAAGGGGAGGGGACTTTGGAATCCAAGAAATGTAACTCTATGCCAGTGAAATCTACAGAAAATTCCTTTTCTGAAGATAATCGCAAGAGCCTCACTCCCACCCGTGCCTGGGAAGTCTGGCCCAATCATTCCTCCGGCATCAGTACAAATTATTTAATTGTTTGCACGGCGGTGACCACAAGGTTTTAGGAGAGATCTTTCACTCCAAAGGAAGGTTCACTATAAAGGTAGCAATTTCCAAGGAACGATAAAAAATGGATGTTAGGAAAATTAGCCATAATCCTCAAATCATAAAAATCCTGGCTATTAACAAATAATATCCCTTTATATAAGAAACTGAAGTACACGCTATGTACTGGAGTCTACCTTTATATGGAATAAAAATATATCATGAAAAAGTAGGAGTTATTCTAGGAATTCCAGGACAATTTAACATTAGTAAGTCTATCAACATAGCTCAGTGCATTAACCAATTAAAATGTAAAAAGTAGATGCTAAAATCACTTCATAAATTCTAGGAGTCAAAAACCAAAGTATAATGAGAGCAGAAAAAAAAGCATTATTAAAGAATGATGATATCAAAGTACGATAAAGAATCTGTATCATAGACCCAGAGTAACCATATTAAATGCATAAATATTAACTGCATTCCAGAGAAAGTAAGAAATAAGATATTATAGTTAACATGGTCTTGAAGGGTAAATCAATGCCGTAAGTTAAGAATATAAGTTACATAAATATTAGGAAAGATACAAAATTGTATTCATTTGAAGATGACTCAAGTGATTATCTAAAAACTTAGAACCTAACACTCCATTAAATAAGGTGACTCAGCATTCAATAAACATACAACTCAATTGTTTACCTTACACTAGCAATGACCAGTTTGAGATTCAAATGAAAACAACCCCATTCACTACAAACGATTCCCTAAATACAAAATTCCTATCAATAAATTTAACAAGTACAGAACAACTTATGTAAGAGAACATGAAGCTGGAACTGAAGCATAAAATACGATCTTAACCAACAGAGAAACGTTGTATTTTGTAGACTATTTACCTGTGAAATGGAGTTCGTTAGTTCAGTCCGTAGAATTAACTCTTCGATGGGTAAAAGTGTTAACGCCCTTTCTAAAATTCTTCTGACCGTCGTCTTTCCTCCACCTGTTGGGCCCACTAACATCACACCAACACAAGCCTAGAGCAAAATTGCAGATTTAGGGCTTAAGCTTGGTTTACGAATGGTTCAACTAAGCTGAAACTTGAAGGTTCTTATTTATAAACACATCTCTAACTAGATCCACAAACCCTTCCTTCAAATTATTGTTCAATCTATTGTAATCTGGGTTGTTTTATTTTATTGTTAAAATCACCAGAAATCTAATTTTATTTCTTTATTTTAAATGTATTTTTATTGATTTCAGAGAGGAAGGGAGAGGGAGAGAGAGAGAAACATCAATGATGAGAGAGAATCATTGATCAGCTGCCTCCTGCATGCCCCGTACTGGGGACTGAGGCCACAACCAGGGCATGTGTCCTTGACCAGAACGAACCTGGGACCCTTTAGTCCAGCGGTCGCCAACCTTTCGGACCTCAGGGACCACCGGTTGGTGACTGCTGCTAGTCCACAGACCGACGCTCTACCCACTGAGCCAAACCAGCTAGGGCCAGAAGTCTCATTTTAAAATTCAAATAGTAATTTCCAATTCTTGATATTTAACAGTTGCTCTCACTTTTCAATTCTCCTTTATTCCTGTACCTTTCTCTACAATTGGCTTCTGTAGTGAAATTTATCTGGGCTTTCCTTGGCTCCATTTTATCTCTCTTTTGAGTTCTGATTATTCTTTCCATATTAGCCTTCCATACTCTCTCCCTCTCCCTCTTCCTCTCCCTCTCCCTCTCCCTCTCTTTCTCTCTCTCTCTCCATTGAAACTCTCTGATCTCATGCATTCCAATGTCTTTAACTACATCTGAATTCTACTGTATACAGGTTCCCCAGTCTTTGGTTCTAAGTGCCAGAACGAAATTTCAATGGTCTACTAAATATTTCCACCTCAATGTCTCACATGGTTTTCAAAATCAACATGATCTAATCCATATGGTCTTTTCCCACTTGTTGCTTCTCTTCTTTCCCTAACCTGGGTAATAAAACCACTATGAACCAATCACACGAAGAAGAATGCTTGCCTCTTCATCCCCTCATCGCTTGCAAAACTTTTGCTTGATTGTATCATCTTCTTTCCATCTCAACCACAATTGCCTTACCTTGGCGCTACGGACTGAATTTTGGTGCCCCAAATTCAAATGTTGAAACCCTAACGTTTGAATTTGGGGGGGTGGGACACAAACATTCACAAGCATTCTTTTGTGAAGACGCCCAGGTACATGTAAAAATTCCGTCAATTTGTATGCTTTTCTCTCATCTTGGTCAGTTTCATCTTCAGACCCAGCCTGGGGCCCTAAGAGGGTAAGGGATAACTTATTCCTCCATTATAATTGGTACCAGGAGATATAAAAACCTACGGCAATTAAGACTGTGCGGTAGCAAAGAAGGATCTCTTACCCTTTGAGACAGCATGGAGGAACCTGGAGAGTATTATGCTGAGCGAAATAAGTCAGTCGGAGAAAGACAAGTATCGCATGATCTCACTCATGTGTGGATTAAACTGATCAACAAAATAAAGTGATGAACAAAGTAGATCCAGAGACACAGAAGCATAGAACAGACTGCGGAATCTCAGAGGGAAGGTGGGGGAAGGTGGGTGGGTGGGAAGAGATCAGCCAAGAGAAAGACAAGTATCGCATGATCTCACTCATGTGTGGATTAAACTGATCAACAAAATAAAGTGATGAACAAAGTAGATCCAGAGACACAGAAGGTGGAATCTCCACAACATGCACAACGATTGGAGGAAAGCTGAGTCCGTCACGTGACGCTCACCGGGTGCGACGCCAGTCACGTGGGCGCCGCGCGGGTCACTTGCTACTAGTGTTTGTGCTTTGGGGGTGGCGGGCCTCCGCGTCTCCTAGTGGCTGTGGGGGGTGTCGATGGCGGGGAGAGGGCAGGTCCGGAAGGTTTGGGAGGCTGTTGAATTGGGTGGGACTGTGAAGGGACTTCATTCCTTACTTATGGGGATTCACAGAGTATTTCTAGGTTGTCTTGGACATTAAGTTTGTAGTTATAAGAACAATACAACATTATTCATTCAGACCATGTGTCAGGTACTGTTCCTGGAGTGTGGACTACATCCTATATAATAAAAGGCTAATATGCAAATGGGAAAAAAAAATAAATAAATATGAACACTTGGTACATGACAGAAAGAGCAAATCAGTGAGAGAAGTCTCACGAAAATTGGTACCCATCTGGCAAAAATAGATCCCTACGTGACGCCTTAAAGAAAAATAAATTCCAGACGACTTAAAAATGGGAAATACAGATACTCAAGACTTTCAGGAAAAAAAAAATGGTCTTTATGAGATAAGAAAACATTTCTAAAAATAGGACACAAAAACACAAGCCATTATTGCAAAAGGATCCATAAATGTTACTGCATGAACTAGGTCTCTTGCACACCCGAACTCCATGAATGTTCCTGAAATGCCAAGACTTAGAGAATGTATTGGCTCTGCATGTAAGCGATACAGAATTATGACGTATGTAATGAAAAATTTACTTTTACTAAGAAAAAGACCAATAACCCAATTGAAAAATGAGTACATTACATACTCTGGCAAGTCACAGAAAACCCAAAAGGCTAACCTATCTATAATAATAAAAGCGCAATATGCAAATCGACCGAATGGCCAAACTGTGGAACGGCCGTCTGGACGACCTTCCTGATGAAGCCAGGCTGCCAGGGCCTACCCTTGCATGAATTTTGTGCACCGGGCCTCTAGTAAACCTATAAAAGGAAGTACAATTGTGCTAGTCATCATGGAAATGCATAGTCTGATGTTTTTCCAAATAGTTCATTCGTAGAGAACAGGCAATTCAGACAAGGAAGAATAATGGCATGCGGAACATTTCACACCAGGTTTGCAGGATTTTTTTTTTACAATTGTGCATTAAGGGGATGAAGGTGGAAAAGATTAATTTGTTGAGAGTTACAGTGAAGGATCAAACAAAGTCTAGGTAAAGAGTTAATCAATAAACCACTTTACTTTGAAGAGCGTGGCAATTGCTCTCTTCTGTTAGTTCATATTGTGTTCCCCTGGATCAGGCATTTTAAAATCCAGGGCAAACAACTGCTACCATGCGATTCTACACTTACCTGCAGCTGGTTATGAAACTGTATGATTTTCTCCTTCTGAGCTGGCCATTGCTGTAAGCCCAACAACTGTGTCGCAAGAGCTACTACTTTCTAAAAAAAAAAAAAATACATTAATTTAAAATGCACTGCAAATCAAACTCTTGGTATATAATCCTAAAAAAGTCTCTCTTAACTAGGTACCAAATACTGTACTATAATAGTTCTTAAATTTTTAGTTCACCAACCTGAGAATAATGAGAACTTATTTTCTACCCCAAATACAATATATCCAATTTTTTAAAAAATACACTTTTATTGATTTCAGAGAGGATGGGAGAGGGAGAGGTAGAAACATCAATGATGAGAGAGAATCACTGACCGGCTGCCTCTTACATATCCCACACTGGGGATGGAGCCTGCAACCCGGGTTTGTGCTCTGACCAGGAATCGAACTGTGACCTCCTGGTTCATAGCTTGACGCTCAACCTCTGGAGCCACACAGGCTGAGCAATACATCTAAATTTTATATTCAGAGACTCCAGTAGCAGATCCACAGATCCTCCCTATATTTAGAACTCATGCTTTAAGATATGCTTAAGAACTAGCTGTAACCACCGTACAAGTGTTTATCCTACAGTGAAAAAGACAATGTACATGATCCTACATCTTAGTGTAATTCTAACTACCATTAAGGTAGGTTTCCGATTTTCTAATGATTATTTTAATGTTTCAATGTTCAAAATATTCGAAGAGAACAAGGGAAATTTTTTGTTTATTGATTTTTTTACAGGGAGGAAGGGAGAGGGATAAAGGGTTAGAAACATCGATGAGAGAGAAACATCGATCAGCTGCCTCCTGCACACCTCCTACTAGGGATGTGCCCGCAACCAAGGTACATGCCCTTGACCGGAATCGAACCCGGGACCTTTCACATAAGGTCTATCCACTGAGCCAAACCGACCAGGGTGAACAAGGGAAATTTTTAAAAAATTGCAAACCTGATGTGGTCATACATGGAACCATGCATGCGGCCTGCCGGCCGCGAGTTGGACATGCTTGCGTTAAAACATCCCAGAAAAAGTGGCTGTAGCTCAGAAAGATACTTAATATTACAACAGAGAAACTGTAAGGGCAGCTATGCCTCCTTCTAAAGTGGTTCTTTCACTGCAGATGTAATGGGTAACTATGTCTTCAGGAAAAAAAAGACAATTTTATCTGTCTTTCTGGTCAACCTTGCCTACTTTCTCGTTCCTCACACTCCTGCACGGGACAGGCAACGCAGGAGCTGAAGGAGGCGCAGAACGCTCAGAGGGCTGGAGGGAGAGACAAGTAGTCCTTG